TCCTCCACCTCCTCCTCCTCCACCTCCTCCTGGATCCGTCGCCTCCGATCCTGGGCACAGCCCTCAACGAACGCCCCCACCGCATCTGCCTCGACCCCGCCTGCGGGCACCCTGGCGGGGGGCCCCAGCCAGCCCGCTCTCCTGGCCGGGAACGCGCCCTGGCGCCTCGCGCGCCGCGAGGGAGGGGGGGGGGGGGCCGGAGGGCCGCAGGTAGGGCCTCCGCGCCACCCTTGCAGCAGGACTCGTAGGCGTGCAGCATGAAGGCCTCGGGGCGCCCGCCCGCGTCGTCGACTTGTTGTGCAGTAGGAGCCCGACCACAAGAGGCCTTCCACAAGAAGCCCAACCCTGAGACCCCAGGACGTCCATCGCTTTTTGGTGAGGGAGCGTCACGCTTTCCATCGCGAAACCATCGAAAACCAAGAGACCCAGGGCACCCTGGAGGCAGGCAGGATGCTGCCTGGCATGGCCTCCACTGCATACAGCGGTCCGGGGGCGCACGGAGGACGGACAGGCCGGTGCCGCGCGCCCTCCTCGGAGGCGCCCTCCGAGCCGGACCTGTGGCACGGGCAGCTTGCAGCAGGTCGCTGCCCGGGCGGCATGGCCAGAAAGCGCCCGCGCCATCGAGCTTGCACCACAGATGTCCGAGCGCGCGCGTCGCCCCTGGGGGGGGGGGGAGACGCACATGCAGTGCCTATACGACCACCACTCTTTGAGCTCACCACAGGGCAGCTGTTTTAATGCCTGGGATTTTGAAAGTATTCGATGTTTTTTTACATGATCAATGTATGAATAAACTTATGCATGAACCCATCGTTGTTTTCTAATACTAAATCCCTGCATCTGTAATACATGATCCGCACACGGAGCATGTATCAAAAACGGCACTGTATCCATCCCATTCTAGCAATCTCATGATCGATTCACCATCGATTTCACAATCGACGCCAAGGCGGGACACCCCAGGCCACCCACCGCCCGCCCCCCGCCGACGGAACACCGACTGGACACAAGCTGGACACCAACGGGACACCACAGAGCACCACGGCGGGACACCCCGGGCCGGGGCGCGCCCACTGGGGGCGGAGGGGCGGTCCACTGCATCCGAATCGCCCTAGCGACGGCGGGATCATTCCTCTCGCGCGCGCACGCAGCTTCGCCTCGCCCGCACGCACGACACGAACACGAAACCGAAACCGATTTCCTGGTGGGGGGTTCTCCGTTCCACTGCGATCTCACCACCCAACCTCCAATAAGTATGTTTGGGCGATGCCGATGGTCCTCCCTACCAGGAAGAATGCTGAAGTCAAGATTTCCAGAAACAGATGGTTCACTCGAGTGGTGGCTGCAGCCTCCTGACACAAGCGGGCCGCTTATGAGCGCCAGTGTGGATCGAGGGTCGAGGGTCGAGAATCGAGGGTCGGGGTTAGAGGACCTATTTTGCCAGAGTGAGATCGCCGATGGCCCAGAGCTCATCGAAGGCAGAACAAGAGAAGGGCACACCTGCTTCACTGAAGCACACAGCGTGCTGCATGCAGAATGGCTTCTGCCTTACGTGAACTTGTCGTCGTCGATCGAGGTTCGAGAGGGTCGACGTTCGAGGACGTGTTCGGTCCTTCTATCGGGGACCTCCGAAGACCTCTGGGGACCTCCCAAGACTCCGATTGCCGGCTTCCCCGCTGAGGGAGGCCAGATCTGCTGCGCAGCCGGGCGTCTGCCAGGATCAGTCCGCAGCGGATCGGGGAACCGCAGCGGGAAACCAGATCGGCTCGGAACGCGCGTCAGAACACGCCTGCATCGGCACGGAGTCAAGATCGAATCGGATCGGCCGTGCCAAAATTTACAACAGCGCCAATGCAGACATCGGGCCGCGCCGCTTCGCCGAAGATCGGAATCGAATTGGATCGGGACGGCTGGGCTCGATGTCGAATCGGATCGACCGGATCGAAATGGACCCCGGCGCCTGCTCGGGGATAACCGCGCGTCTCCTCTCCTCCCTGAGATCCGACGTTGGGATAAAAATGCAACATCGCGAAAATCGCGACCGGAGACTTATATCCCGTCTTTCTGCTCTAGTTTTCCACTGGATCGATCTGGGAGTGCCCCGGAGCCCGAAACCTGGCGAAACGTCCGGGGAGAAAAAAGTCCGACGCCTGGGTCTGCGAACTCGTCCCTCTGGCTCCCCAGAGTGGGGGGAGGGGTGCAGCCTCGAAGTCCCCCAGCTGGCCAGCGGAGAGCATGGACTCCCCGTACGTCTGGAGCTGCCAGATCGCTCTGACGAGCAGCATCTTTACCTCGCCAGCGGCGGCCCCGCGCGCTGGCTCCCCTTCGGTTGAGGAGGGAGGAGGAGGGATGCAGGAGGGAGGAGGAGGGAGGAGGAGGAGGGGAGGAGGAGGGAGGAGGAGAGTAGGAGGACGAGAAGCAGGAGGAAGGGAGGAGGAGGAAGGAGCAAGCAGGAGGAGGAGGAGCATGAGGAGGGGAGGGGAGGGGGGGAGGGGGGGAGGGGGAGGGGAGGAGGAGGAGGAGGAGAAGGAGGATGAGGAGATGAGGAGGAGGAGGAGGGCGGAGGAGGAGGAGGAGGAGGAGGAGGAGAGTGGAGGACGAGGAGGGGGGGAAGGAGGAGGAGGAGGATGAGGAGGAGGACGGAGGAGGAGGATAGGAGTAGGAGGAGGAGGAGGGACTAAAGGAGGATGCGGAGGAGGAGGAGGAGGTAGGAGGAGGAGAGGAGAAGGATGAGAGGGAGGAGGAGTAGAAGGAGAAGGATGAGAATTAGGAGGAGGAGGAGGAGGAGGAGGAGGGGAAGGGGGGGAGGAGGGGACGACGAGGATGAGGAGGAGGAGGAGCAGAGGAGGAGGATCAGAGGAGGAGGAGAGCAAGCAGCAGCAACAGGAGGATGGAGGAAGGAGGAGTAGGAGGATGAGGAGGAGGAGGAGGGAGGAGGAGAAGAGGAGGAGGAGGAGAGGAAGGAGGGGGATGGAGGAGGAGGAGAGTAGGAAGGAGGAAGGGTAGGAGGAGGAGGATGAGGAGGAGGAGGAGGAGGAGGGGGGGGGACAAGCTAGGTGCGCTCGCGTCATATCTGACATCCTACCCCTCCCTCCCATCCCTTACCATGGTGCAGATCCCCTCTCTACTCGCACAGTCGGATGTTGAGCAGGGCAATGATCCCGAAAGGGTACGCGATGCATTGTAGAGCATGGCATGGTATGGCGTAGAAGAGCACCGCGAAGCGTAGTATCAGCCTAGCATTGCATTGCATGCCGTGGCATGGCACGGGAAATGACGCGAGCGCTGCAGCGGGAGCACGAGTCGAAACGAGCGGAAGCGCGGAAATGAGGCCAACGCTGCAGCGGGAGCACGATTCGGAACGAGCGGAAGCACGCCGGAATCGGCCCGGGAGGCTCCCGGGCGCCAGAAGCAGAAATTCAGCATTTTCAAAAGAAAATTGTATATTGGAATGGCCTTTTCTCGGCGCCGCCTTGGAACTCGATTTTCCGGCGCCGGCCGGAACCGGCTCCGGACCCGGCCCGGGCGCCGGCCCGGGCGCCGGCTCGGGCGTCCGGCCCGGGCGCCGGCTCGGGCGCCGGCCCGGGCGTCGGAATCGGCCAGGGAGGCCTCCCGGGCGCTGGAAGCAGAAATTCAGCATTTTCAAAAGAAAATTGTGTATTAGAAGAATGGCCTTTTTTCGGCGCCGCCTCGGAACTCGATTTTCCGGCGGCGGCCAGGACCGGCTCCGGACCCGGCCCGAGCGCCGGCCCGGGCGCCGGCTCGGGCGTGCAGCCCGGGCGCTGGCGGAAACGATGACAGCGCTGCAGCTGGAGCACGATTCGGAACGAGCGGGGCCCGAAAATGAGGCCAGCGCCTCAGCGAGAGCAGCATTTTGGAAAAAATGCAAGCGAAAACCAGGGAAACCTGTGCAAAAAAAACCATACGCGGGGGGGGTCGAATACTCCCAAGCCGTCATCAGGGGAAGAGGGAGAGTAGTATTCATATTGAGTAATTGTGGAGGAGGAGGAGGAGGACGAGGAGGAGGAGGAGGAGGAGGAAGAGCAGCAGCAGCAGGAGGAGGAGGGCGAAGAGGAAGAAGGAGGAGGAGGAGAAGAAGAAGAAGGGACCAGTGTAAACCCAAGAATCATCAACGTTGTTGGAGTAAACCCTCCCTCCAAGCTCCCTCTTCACAGGCCCCTGCAACGGTTCATTTCTATTGTGGGACCTGCCTCTTTGGAAAAGAACCGTTTGAAGACCATGAAGCATGCCAAAACATTGTTCTCGGGATTCTAACGCCACGGATCAACCTGACTGTTGCGTCTTGACAATCCTGAATGAAAAAACGTGACTCTCACCCTCTCCGGAACACCATTCCTGGGACTTCAACACAGCGAACCAACATAACTGCTGCACCCGCGTAATCCTGAATCCTTTCAAAACACCATATCTGGCACGTTGATGATGGGAATCCGTGAAACTCTTGCAAATGTTTAAAACGAAAGTGCGCCGCGCTAAGGCGAAAGCCACATTTTGAAAACCAACGAGTGTGCGCCGCGCTAAAGCGAGAGCCACATTTTGAAAACGACCCGCCCTCAACCCGTGAAACTCTTGCAATTAAAGCGAATGTGCGCCGCGCTGAGGCGAAAGCCACATTTTGAAAACCACCCGCCCTCAACCCGTGAAGCTCTCGCAATTCTTAGACATGACTGTGCGCCGCGCTAAGGCAAGAGCCACATTTTGAAAACGGCCTGCCCTCCATCAGTGAAACTGTTGCCAATGGTAAGGTCCAGAGTCATAAATGGTCAGGCGAAACGCCCGGCCCGCCCTTAAGCTGGCCTCGGGGTGCGACAGGGAGAAATTCCCCAATCAGTGCTTGCACTCAAGGGGTCCTCGCGGATGTTGAAAGATCTGGCGAAAGTTTCCCGCCGATTTTGGTTGCTGGCTGGGTTCCCGGGTTCCCGGTTTGGGGTTCCCGGGTTCCCGGTTCCGGGTTCCGGGCCGATTTCGGAGGGCGGCGAAGATCCCGAGTTCCTGGTCAATCTTCTTATCGATCGGTCTCACCATCGATCTCATTACCCACTTCTCTATCGATCTCACCATCGATCTCACAATCGATCTCACTATCGATCTCCCAAGCGATCTCACTAGAGATCACAAGAGCGATCTCGCGATCGATTTCACTATCGATCTCATTGAATCGCTTCCACTCTCGATCTCACGATCGACCTTACAATCGTCCTCACTATCGATGACACTATCGATCTCATTATCGATCTCATAATCGATCTCAAGATCCATAGTATTAATTTTCAAATCATCCACAGATTGGGGTTTTCTCGGGTGTACTTATTTATAAGGAAAGGAATAGAGAAGAAGGAGGAGGCGGAAGATTTGGGAGGGGCCTAGAGTCGGGAAGGCTCTACGATGTTATAGCGGAATTCTACACGGATCTCTGGGGTCGGCGAGGAGGAGGAGGAGGAGGAGGAGGAGGAGGAGAAGAGCAGGAGGACTGTTTCTTCCCTCCCCGTTCTTTCCCCCCCCCCCTCCCTCCCTCTCCATACTCCTCCCACTCCCATTCCCCAAGGCCTATACTTGAGAGGGATGAAAATATCGTCCCCCTCCCGACTCTCCAACGAGATCGCCCTTAATATTTAAACGACACTCCCGATTTTTGTCTCGGATAAACAAATGCAGAGGACGGTGGCGATGAACGAGAAAGAATTCGGAATTTCAGGCCTGACATCGCGGGTCGCGAACGGAGCACTTGACAGCACAGAGAGCCCGCGTGTCACCCGGTGCTGAATCATACGTGTGTCCTGCTTGTCCACGTGAGCCGGAGCCATATATCAACCCCACCAGGCTGCTCTAGCATATAATACGAGACCGACTATGGGAAACGACGACGACGAACGAGGGAGGGGTGGAACAACGAGGAGAATGAGTGACGATGAGGACGAGGAAAGGGGAGACGGGAGGAAGGAAGCGAGGTAGGGATTCATACACATCCGCCGCAGGAGGGAAGCGAGGCGGGGATTTATACAGATCCGCCGCCTGTGGGACCGACGTCCTGGGACCGCAGCGGGCGGTGGATATGGACATCTTCGGGCCAAGGGGGGTACGAATCTATCCATATCCACCGCCTGCCGAGGTCCCCGAAGATCGATCCCCCAGGCGGCGATTATACGTCTACATACACATACACACGTATATATACAACCCCCGCCTCGGAAAGGAAGCCGGAAGGCGGGGGGAGGAGGACCACCGAGCTCGCTCCCGGCACGAATGGCACCTCAGGCCTGCCAGCAGGCACGAAGCGGTCGTCGGCGAGGTACTGTACAGCGTGGTGTGTGGGGGGGGGGGGGGGGCAGCCCGCGGAAGGCCGGGCAGCCAATGCCCAGCAGTTGTCCGGCAGCGGGCCCCCGTTCGTGACGAGCTCTGGAGAGCGCCGTGGGGCCTCCCTCGGCTACACGGAGGGAGTGACCATGGGCAGGAGCGACCTCTGGTGCGCGGCTCAAGGGGGGCGGCGCGGGGGGGCCAAAAACCAGAGCGCGCAAGCCGCTGCTACCGCTTCGCGCTCCGCGATCGGGGGACACCACTGGGCCCGCACCCAAAGGTCTCTCCAGCGAAAGGTCACTCTTATGTCGACGGTGGCGGCCAGTCCACAACAAATCTTCCACGAGAGACCCAACCCTGAGACCCCAGGACGTCCATGGATCTTTGGCGCGGCAACGTCGCGCTTTCCATGGCAACGCCATCGAAACCCAGAAAACCCAAAGCACCCTGGAGGCAGCACAGGGTGTCTCTTGTAGGGGGCCACATGCGAACCCTACCCCTACCCCCACGATTTCTGGGGGTGAGGGTGGGGTTCACTTCGTTCGGGAGCTCCCGAGCGAAGTGAATCCCACCCTCCCCCTCAGAAATCGTGGGGGGTAGGGGTAGGGTTCGCATGTGGCCCCCTAGTTTTGCAGCCCCTGGGGCCCTCTGGGCCTCGTGAGGGGTGCCCTAGAGGCCGCCTGGGCCACCCCGAGAAGCCTGGGGGCACCTTTTGGGCCAGGGGTACTTCTAGCAGCACCCGACATGGCAGGGTCGGCTCAGGGTGCGTTCCAAGACTCCCGGAATGCCTGGCGGCCCTCGTCTCTGCCGCCCGCGCGAGACGAGAGGGGCATCCGGGAAGTCCTGTACATCCTGGCAGAATGGGGAAGCACTACCCTGGGAAATCTTGGAAAACTGGGGGATCTGGGAAATCTTGTGAAACTAGACGTCTTGCGAAAGCTGGGGAATCTTGGGAAATCTTGGAAACTGG